TAAATTGAAGTAAAAATGACATTGAAACAAGCGTGGTAGAAGTAGCTGAGAGAATGCCGCAGACACCGTGGAACCACTGACTGAGACAGCGTGCAACAAGCAGGCGCGGGCGTTTTTAATTTCAGCTCTTCAGTGACTACTTCGCGAGTGACCGCTGCCCTAGTTTGATTGCGGTTCGTGGCATGACGGCGAACTCGCAGTTGCAGGCACGCAGCAACGCGAGTAGCATTTGGGCAGGCAAAGGTGAAACGACTGCAGACGAGTGGCCGTTGGACCGACCATACGATACTCTGATGCGTGCAGTGCAGTGCGGTGCGTGCGTACGTGTGGCCGCGCGCTCCAGATACGACAAGGGCGAGAAGGTGTTTGCCATGGTGACCCTCACCACGCCTAACCTTATCCAACCACCCACAAACCCACCCACCCACCCTCTTACCCGCTCTCAGATACTACTTCCATGAGGCCTCGAACGCCAAGGTGACGCGAGACGCGTGATTGTTACTCCAAGTTTTGAATATAAATTTTGTTTGATTTTCGGATTTGCCGACTGGCTAAACAAAATGAGGCTAACATTTTCACGGATGTTAATGACTGAGATACTGGTGATATCAGCACGTCATCTGACCACCAATGCAGTCACGATTTCTCCTTTTTCGGTTATGGTCTCATTGTAATCGGCGAATGACCTAATGTTAACTTGAACACTGTCGGCACAATTCGATCTATGAGACGATCTATGCAGCTACGTTTATTCCTTCTTAGTTACTGTTCCACAACGCTTGCGATAACTTCCACCTACGTCTGGATGTTAGAACTTGTTTGACTCGCGCTGTTTCACGCATCTGAGCTTGACATTAAGTGGTGTCTCGTAGTCATCGAAAAACAAAGACGAAATGCCTGGCATGGTAAATTGCCACCTGACTCTCTGATATTATTCAGACAGGGAAGGAGGGTGGAAGGAAGGCGCAGTACCATGTAATGGACCAAAACACACACTCCGGAAACCATCTTGGTTTAAAACAACATGTCATTGCCACAACACCAAGCGTCACAGCTCCTGCGTCGAATGCGAGAAGGAAAATTACGCAAGCGTGACATTGGAAGAAGCGCAATCGAAGATGCCTAGTAAATGTTGCAGACATCGTGGAACCACTGACTGAGACAGCGTGAACAGTTGCTGATTAGCATCTGGTAGAAGTGAATGCGGAGTAGGAGGATGTGGTGGCGGGTAAGGTTGCGGGAACGCAGTGATGGACCTCAGTTTATGGCTTGACCAGTCTTGATTTCTAAATTAGACATCAATTTATATTTCGTCTAGCGTGCAAATTGTTAATGGATACAAGGTAACCTGCAAAATAATGGACGTTTGGAATGGTGTGTGTTAGGTGTGTTGGAATTTCGGAACACGATGATATTCGTAAGTTCCTCGCATGAAAGATCTGTCTCTGTCCCTGATGCTCTGATTATGTGCGGACGGAGAGGAGGCAAGAGGCATCGCGACATGCTAGGAAGTAGTGCTGTGAGCAGATTGATAATTGTCGCAGCCAGGATAAGGATGTTTTGGAAGGCGGCTTCCACCTGAGACGTCCGTCGAGTTTCGATAACCTGCAACACCCTCCACGACACCAAGACAAATCCAAACACCCGCTTTTCATTTGTCAGATTTTATCCATTAACTCTTAACGCTATTACTGAAATAAAGCTGTCGTTTAATTTGCAACACTGATCTGACTCTAATTTTACCCAATCAATTGCCTCGGGGAAAAATGTGTTTCCATCTGAATGAGTGTGTGGGTGGGTTGGTTGCGTTTGCCTGCGTGACAGTTCCGCTTTCACTAACCGAACTAGAGTCAGTGGTGCAGCTAAATGTAGCCATGTTTTAGCTTGTGTGTGAATTGTGCGTGGAATGTGGCTTTGCAAGTTTTGTCTCGGTGCAGTGGAACCTGTGTGTGTGAGGTTGCTGAGAAGGCGACAACGTGCTTGTAGCCCGGCAAACATCTACACAGTTTACATGATTTAATGGGCGTCAATTTAAAGTTGGTTGTGGTAACGCTATGTTCGGGTGTGATTACAGTATGAAATGTGGACGAAATTATTGTTACAACTCGGACGCATATCACACTTCTGTTCGCTACCCCCTTCCTTATTCTAATGCTTTTCATTGAGTTTTAATGGGGCTAAGGCCTTTTATTGAACTGACCTTTTCCAGTTTCAACTTTAAATTCCTTTTGCCCCACATGAATTTTTGAATCGGCCGTTATACACCCATTTGGTCTGTTCGGTTCCACTGTCTAACCCGGACATCGGCAGGCCGAAGTTACACACAGTCAGGCACAAGATTTCGACACTCATACACGTCAGCTATTTCCACGCTGGTGTGTCATGTGGCGAAGCCTCAATATCAACAAGTGTTGCAGCATTGGGGTGATTTCGTTATCAGACAGGCAATGATCATCGGCACTCAAAATGTCAACGTTGAATTCACCACACATGGCTAGATTCGATTTTTTTTGTGGTCTTTTGAAGTTTCCGTGGTTATAAACACAAACGCACACGCATAAGACACATTCAATTACACACCGCATTACACTATGCACTCACGCTAGACAAGTGAACCATACATGTCCCCCCCCCGACAAGTTACTCAGCAGAGACCAAACTAGTTCGGTTTTTTAATCAGACGACAATGTTTATTTCGTTTTTCGTGTTAAGTAATGATTGACAGAATCTTAGAAGTGTTGATGTATCGTGATGGTTTGTAGGAAAGGCGGGAAAGTAGAGGGTGGAGGTGGTTGTGTGGGTAGGTGCAGATTGGGGTGTAGAGGTGGCAACAGCGTGCGTGCGGTTTAAAACGATGACGGATATCGATCAGGGAAAGAAAATGATGTAAACGTATCGAGAGCAGCATTGCAAACACGTTCGCGTCCTTTTTATGTCTGATGCGTAGGTCCACCACCTCCACTGCCACCACTAGTGCCGGGAATACTGGTGTCGCCACAGGTTGGCGTGTCTTCGGAGACAGGGAGTTCGTCAGGAAAGGACTTGGGGTCGGAGAGGATCTCGAGTTGCGTTAGGGAGTTCTGCACATAAGTCGGGGCGTCCGGCGGAATGCTATTGACCCACCGCTCCACGCACTGCATTCGTTCCTGGCACGGCAAAATCAACAACCTGTTAGGTTTGCAGGCACACACATGCACACAACATTAACACTGTTTGCATCAGATTGTGTGCCGTCATCGCTTTCTGGACAGTGTTTGAAGCAACCAAACAAAGCCGTGCATCCCTACTTTATCCAGACTCACGTGGTTCATCTCGTCATTGACACAATCTGAGTAAAAGCGACACTAGAAAAATATTTCAATGGTCTACAGAAAACACGTCACTTAGCAAACTACGAAACTGACATGAGCAAATTGACACTGTTGGGAAGATGGAAATGTGCATGCCATCTGAGTCATAAAGCAGGAGTTGCGCAATTGTCCACACAAAATGATGACTCTTGTACGATGGGGCTGTGGCGAAACAGACAAACCACCAACACATCTACCCAGGACTATTGCGAAGCTGTAACGAAGTAATCTCACAGAAGATACTTGTTACTGCTTCTGCAGCATCACCGGGCTCACTACCACGCACGGTGTTGCTCCAAATACAAGGTCCTGTTGTGACACATTCAGCAAAATGGCTCAAGTCAGTCGACTTTGACACCCACTCAGTTAAGCGACGACATCCATCAATCAACAATGAAAGGTGCTCAAAGAACTCGTGTCGAATGCAAGACAAACGCAACTGTCATGAAATAAAAGGAGCTTGACAGAATAAGCTTACGGATTTGCGCAGACCACGCGGAAGCACAGGATCAGACATCGTGCACAATAGCTGAGTTGTTTGCAATCGAGGTAGTTCCAGTAGAGCTGCTGCGAGCGATATGAAGTCAGACATCCAGAACGCTTCGATTTAATCTGCGTTGCGTCCAATCACGATCAATTGAGCCGACTCGCACCGTTAATCCTATCGCTTTATTCGATGACACATTTCGAATTCACGTTTCGCAGCATGCCTGTGTCGTCCGAAGGGGGGAACTTTATCCTACGACAGGATGTTAGCACTTTTAGAACTCCAAGTAACAAGTCATTAGTTTGAGCGATTATCCTTCATTACCAATACCCGGGCGATAACTCTCATCTACTTCTGGATGTTAGCACTTTTGTTACTGGCGCGGTTTCACACATCTGAGCTTTGATCGAAGCATAATTTTAATTTGACAACAAGAGATTCCTCGTAGTCGTCGAAAAACAAACTCAAATTGCTTTGCGTAGAAGGTTGGCAAATTATTCCCTGACATTTTCCAGACCTGAACGGAGGGCAGAAGGAAGGCGTAGCACCATGTAATGGACCAAAACATACACTCCGGAAACCTTATTGGTCTAAAACAACATGTCATCGCAACAACGCCAAAAGTCACACTTCATGCGTCGAAAGAGGGTAGTAAATTGACGCAAACATGACATTTGTCCAAGCGTGGTAGAAGCCACCGGTCAACGACTCTTTGTCTATCATGTCTTCATTCCGCGTGGATTGGTTATGAGGCGACGTCTTTGTACGATCATCGATGGAGCGAGAATGCGTGTGCATTTCTGACATAAATCGCCTAGGTGTGTGATTGTGTATGTCCAGCAATTAGGATGCTCCGGACACAAACCAGTGATTTATGCATTTTTCTATAAACTTGCTTTCTCCCTTTCCCCCATCTCTTAAATGCATGCAGATCCTGGGCAAAATGAAGACAAAGAAACCGGAGGATTAGTCGAGGCAGTTGGTGGTGGCGTTGCCTGAGATTAGTGAGCGGGACAAGTTGTCATGTTGACCGATGGTTATTCTGCGATATAACACACAACATGATTCGATTGCTGCAAATCCCATCATTTGGCCAAACTTTAAGCAACTGCCTAATTTATCGCTGCCATGCTTCATTCTGCAATCTCCCACCAATAATCACAACTAAAACGCTACCTGAATTAGATGACATATCTCTTTCTGAATCTCGCCACCAGATCTGCTCATCCCATAAGTGAACTTTTAATTTAGGCGGTAAAAATACGGACAGTTTCATTTAACATGTGAATTCTAAGTTCTAACTGATTAATTTGACTCGCTAAATGAAGGCGCATTTTCTTTCGATCAACGGTAAATCGCCAATAATTGTGCGAAAAAGCCCAACTTCATTCGATTGCCACAAAATCCAGCGAATTATAGGCATTCATTTGCAAACTGCATTTAAACTATTGATATCAAAATCTGCTAGAACGTTACCGCACGCCTCAGAACTTAAATACGTAGTTTTCTAGAGTGTGCGTGTGTGTAGAGTTGCATTCGTTTTTAAAACTGTGAAGGATGAGATGGTAGATGTCAAAATCTTGTGCTACTGCATCCAGACCATTCTCGCAAAGCCATGACCAAATAATACTTCGTGGCGCGTCCGATTGCGTAGAAGTTGGATGCTTTAACGATACATTATCTCACACAAATTCTAGAACGGGGACATTTCATTGTGTCTAACAAACGGATGCTTCCCAAACTGCTGTCGGTGCAGTGCAACAACGAGTGGTGCTTGCTTGAATTGAGACGGTACCAATCTTTCCATGATGACTCCGACCAACTCCGACCCTCTTAGAGTACCTTATCAAAAGAATTGTTTGTGATTTGATTTTCTTTAAAGCACCTCTATCAAATCTGAATGAACGAGGGTTCAAAATTTCCACAGATTATCAGGCACTAGAAACATTAAGGCAGTGCGAATTGAATTATATTGCAGTGGTCATGGTGTTAAGAGCAGTGGGACATATTTTCTTAACGGCGCAGATATTCGATATGCTGCAAACACGTTGTCACGTTCTCAGTACTGACGCAAACACTCAAGACCTACTGCATCAAGACCATTCCTGCAAATCCATAGACCAAATAACACGTCATTGTGTGTCCAATCGTGTAGAAGTTGGATGTTTTAACGATAAAGAACCTACACTGATGATAGGCCAAAAAGATTGTTGATTACGCAATCTCAACTCTCAATTTGTCGAACAGTACGCAATAAACCTTGCACAAAAAACACACAATTCACACAATATAAAAATGGCTATATTAAGCAGGACCCCCAAATGCAATTCGCTTTGTGAAAGCAAAACCGTCATGAGGGCATACGCACCCCACACACATAAGCACACACACACACACGAATCACATTCCTCCTCGAGGCAATGGATTGGGTAAAGTTCGAGACAGGTTAGTGCCGTGAATTAGACGACAGCTTATATTTCGGTTATAAAGTCAAGTGTTGATGGAAAAAATCTAACAGGTTAAAATGCTGGTGGTTAAATTTGTATTGGTGTGGGGAAGATAGGAAGCTGGAGTTGGGGTTGGATTGAGCCGCAGAGGTGGGAGTAGAAGACGAGTGGGCGGGGTAAAATAGAAGGAGTCATGGCAAAAACTTTCTACCTGTCATATCTGGTGCGTGGGGTCACACACACTTGCACCTTACACATCACGGGGAAGTATATTCCTTCCAACGGCCGCTTGCATGCAGTCGCTTCGCCTTTTTCTAAATGCTATTCACTGTGCGACTGGCCAGCAACTGTGAGTTGGTAGTCCTTCGACGAACCTCACCTATGTTACAATCTAAGACATTTAGCAATCAACCTGCCCACCAATTAGAGGCACTCAAGTCACTCGTGTCGACTGCAAGGAAAATGCAGCTATCATGACAGAGGAACGCGGAAGATGGAGCTTACACGTGGGTTGAGACCGGGTGAAAGCACTGGCTTTGAAATCGTTAGTAGTTGTGGTGGAGGGCCGGCATTGGTGCTTGGACCAGCCTGGTGATGCATTGATATTTTTGAGGTTGTGGTCTTCGTCACCGATCACTGTGGAATGCGGATTATTGTCTAACTGTTGCTTTGCTGATCACTTCTCTTTTGTATCTGTGAGGATCGCCTATTCGGCAGCACCTACTATTGCCGACGGTTACGAAGACTTAATCGAATGGGTTATTTTTTTCAAATAGCACGCACCACTAACGTCAATGGGGCCGATTCCGTTAACCGTTTGACAAACAGGCAGACTAATTAAACACGATGTGTTAATTTAAGATCTTCAGAGTTCAGATATTCAACAAATCGGTATTTTGAAGCATTTTAAGCATTACAATAAGAAAAAATATTGACTTCATACGCAGAAAAACAATTAATTCAATTGATCAATGAAAAGCTGGTCGTGAGATCGCGTGATCTGTTTGGCCCAGAGGACCATTTTATCATTGATTTGACCTCCAGTCCAGGCAATATTCGTGCCTCGGAAGTGATCTGTTGACACTCATAGAAAGAGCACTACACGTGTTCGATTTATTACTGGGTGGTTTAACATCTTTAAATTTGTCCAGCCAATGACCCACAGTCACCGGCCTTGTTATATCTGTTGCGTGAGGCCACGACCTCCACCACTACCTCCACCACCACCATTACCACTGGTTGGCGTGTGGTCGGAGAGTTAGAGTTCGTCGGAGAACGACTTGGGTTCGGATAAGATCTCAATTTGCGTTAGGGAGTCCGATGAAATGCTATTGATCCACTGCATCACACATTGCATTCGTTTTAGCACAGTAAAATCAAAAACCACAGTTAGGTATACTCGCACACACACATATACACCCAGCACCTAATAATCACAATGGTGCATTAGCGTGTGTGCGATCATCGTTATCTTAACTGCGTTCTTGTCAACCAAGTTATGCCATGCATCTATCTTCTATCCATAAACACGTAATGTAATTCATTTTCGACGTAACCTTAGTAAAAACGCGACTAGAAAAATAATATATTAGTCTACATCAAACACCCACCAATTGGGTAACCACAAATCTGATATGAGCAGACAAACACAGTTTAGAAGACGGAAATGTGCATGCCAAGTGAGTCGTCAGTGGCACTGCGAGTCATCAAGCAGGAGTTGCGCATTCGTCCACACAAAACGACGACTCAAGTGCGATGGGACTGTGGCGAAACAGACACACCCCGAACGCTTCTACTCAGACCGATTACGAGGTATTAAAATTGCTTTCCCATAGAATTCACCGGTTCGTGCTTCCGCAGCATCACATTGCTCGATACTTAGCACTGTATTACTCAAAAACCAAGTTCTAGCGTGACACATTCAATAAACACCCAACATCTCAATCAAAGTCAATAAAATTTGACATCCACTAAGTCAAACGGTGTCACTCATCAAACGAAGAACCTACAATGAAAGGTGCTTAGAGCACTCGTGTCGAATGCAAGACAAAATCAACGGTCATGAAACAAAATGCGCGTGACAAAATCAGCCCTCGGGTTCGCGCAGGCCACGAGATAGCACTGGCTCAGGAATCGTAGGCAATAGCAGAGTCGGATGTAGCAGAGGTGGTTCCAGTAGAACTGCCGTGAGTGTTGTAAAAGGAGACATCCAGCACACCTCGATTCACGCTGCGCTGCGTCGAATAACGTGCGGTTGAGCCGACTCACGCTCGTTTATCCGATCGCTTATTTCTACGACACATTGCGACCCCACGTTTTGCACGCTGCCGTCGTCAGCCAAAAGGGGGGAACTCCACGTGACAGGTCATTGGCCCGAAAGATTATCCGGCATCATCACTATGCTTGCGATGACTTTCAGCTACGTCTAAATAGTAGCACTTGTGTGACTCGTGCTGTTTCACACCTCTGGACTATAATAAGTAGGCGTTTGGCAAATGGCTTCAGACACAGCACTCAATCATACTCTCTAGACACCAACTTGGTCCAGCTCTGAGGCGTGTTATGATGTCTTCTCCGATCCTCTCCCCGCCTAGTCGGACGAGAATAAAGTTAGTGGTCCTGGCATGCTTTGAGACTGCTTGGCGCGCAACACATCACAAAATATCAAGTTTGTCTTCTTCAGAAAACTCTCATCTTCAATCTGTAAAAATTCTGCTTAGATCGGTACACAAATTCAACTTGACAATAAATGGTGTCCCGTAGTGATCGAAGAAGCAATTCTAATTGCCTCGCATGTGAGATCTGCATCTCATAGTCTGCATAGGGCCAGACAGGAAAGGAGGGCAGACAAGAGGCGTAGCGCCGTGTGATTTCTCAGAACCCACACACTCCGGACAGCATCTTGGTTTGAAACAACATGTCACCGTGGAATGCGAGGAGCAAAATGACACAAACATGACATCGAAAGAAGCGTAGTGGAAGCCGCCTACAAAATGCCGCAGACCCTGGGGAACCACTGCTGAGTCATCGTGGATAAATGCTGATCAGTGTGTAGTAGAATTGTATGCGGAGTAGAGGGGGAGGTGATGTTAGCAACGACAGCGATGAACCTGCATTTTTGGCTGGACCAGTCTGGTTTTGTAAATTAGACGACAGCTTATATTTTGGTTATGGTGTTAAGTGCTGATGGATAAAACTGACAAGTGATAAACGGGTGTTTGGATTTGTATTAGTGTGGAGGAGAGTATGACGGAATATTGGGACACAACCACCGCCTCAAATGGAAACAACCCTCCGCCACTGCTTCCTCCTCCAATCGGATCGCTACGACCCATCCATCATCACTGTCTGCGCACAATCAGGCCATCAGGGACTAATCTTCCTTACAAGACAAATTTAATCAATTCCTTAATTTCTACGAAACAATTTCTTGTCAAGATGCTTCAATCTGGCAAACAATTATAGTCAGTTTGCCGGAATTTTGTCAGCGATTCCAAGCAGATCCGAGAGTATCCAGTGGCATAATAACCCTGTAGCTGGCGTCGTTTTCTCGGTTTGGTCAACAATTATGTTCGGTTAATTGAACAAGCAGCTGAAATTTTGTCATTACTGACTGACTTGCATCAAAGTAATCGCAAGAACCTAGCGCTCATTCAGGAGCCTGCAGCCTCTTTTCATGCTATGAAGTATGAGACAGCATGTGAAAGAAACTTATTCTACTAAAATAAGGAAGCAAAAGTTGTCTTACGAACAGATGCATCCTAGTCTGCTGGCGGTGCTATACAACCACGAGAGCTGAATGCTTGAAGTGAACTAGTACCAATCTTATTAGGGAGGCTCCGATCAACAGAAACCCTTAAGAGTGCCTTCTGCAGAGAATTCTTGGCAATTTGTCTCATTGCGAAAACTTGTGTCCTATACTAGAAGCAGATTTTTCACCAGTTCTACTGATCATAAGGCACTAGAGATACTCAGGTTGTGCGCAATAGATTATATTGCAGCGATCTGACTAGTGTCAGCTATAGGATTCATCACGCAACATCTACTGTATCTGGGCCATACTTGCAAAGCCATGGAATAAATAGCTCGTCGTCTGGCGTCCGATCCTGTACAAGTCAGACGCTTTGCCAATATGGAATAAACACGGACAATAAGCTAGTAGGCATTGATGATTAGGCCAGCAACACTCTCGATATATCGGACAATACTTGCACAGAAAACACAATTCACACATTACGCAAAAACTGGCCATATTGAGAAGTACCTCTGACTCCAGTTTGCTTTGTGAAAGCAGAATGGTCACGCAGGCAAAGGCACCCAAAAAGCATGGAAGAACCTTCTCCCTCGAGGCAATTGATTGGGTAAAATTCGAGCCAGGTGAGTGTTGCAAATTAGACGTCAGCTTATATATTAGTTATGGAGTCAATTGTTAATGGATAAAAATGACAAGTGAAAAAGTAGTGTTTGAATTTGTATTGGTGCGGGGGAGGGTATTGGAGTTGGGTTTAGCTTTGGCCGCAGAAGTGGGAGTAGAATTGGTGATGGGGCGAAGGAAGATGGAAATGGATCGTGGCAGACACTTTCTCGTCCTTGTGATTTCTGCTGCTTGGGGTCACACACACTGCACCTCCCACATCACAGGAGAATATGTTCGATCCAACGGCCGCTTGCTTGCAGTTGCTTTACCTTTTTCCAAATGAATTTCACTGTACGACCGTCTAGCAACTGTGAGTTGGTCGTCCTTCGACGAACCTCACGTATGCTAGGGCATTTTCCACTCAAGAAGTAGTCCTTAAACATCTACCACAAAAAACATCACACGTACTATCTAATATTTACGTAGACAAACATTTCCTGAAAAGGCTATATTCAGCTGAACTAAGCAAACGAAACTTGAAAATTATAGAAAGACTGGCAAATTTGCTGACACATTCACCACCTGAATTATGCACCTTTACAACTAAAAATGTCTCGTAGTCATTGAAGTCCCGATTCGGAGGTCTTCCTGTGATAGGTCTAACCCTGGTTATCTGACTCGATCCAGACGAAGAGGAGGAAGGAGTCGTAGGCCCAGCAAAGGCAGGCGATTGGTGGTTGGCATCACTAGGATTAGGCTGTGGCGAAAGACGGTTTCCATTAAGGGTAGTCGTCGTGGTGCCTCGGTTTGCCGCATCTTCATCGCCACCATCACCACCACCGCTACTAGCGGAACCTCCTTGCGACTGGAGCTGCTGCTGCACGTGGCGGTAGTATTCCGCTCTACCTACAAATCGACATTTCAGATATTCACACAAACGGATCAATCACACATTCACAACAGCTTCGTCAGGTGTGATTCGGCAATTCCACGATGACTCATTATTGCGACATTCTCCTGTGGACTCGCAAAGCCAAGATCACACTCTTCACTGGAATGACCACAACACCTAAACACCCACCATGTAAGTCCGATTTGTGGCCCTAACAAACGGACAAACTTAACTTGTTCCCAGGAATCAGGCTAAAGAAGCACAATTTCGGGGTCACGTGATGCTATGCCGCGTTTTAAGCTTGATGTTTTAGAAAGCGACACGCATTACGCGGAACACTTTAGATGCTCTAGAGAAAATATGTACAACTGAGGCCAACCGGATTGTTAAATGGTAAGTGAGCAGTGCATGAAAAGCCTTTATCTGTGCATCATCACACGCTACACTCACTTGGGATACACGTACAAACCACAAACACACGCACACATCAGCCACAGATTAGCCGTCGTCCGTAACTAATCAATCGTACTTGTACACATCCTAGACACTAAACACGCACACTCTACAGAAACTAAACAAAACACAAACGGAGATTATGCACGTACACACTGAGCAGTCGTCGTACGTCCGTGATCATATCCACAATCCACATAAACACACCGGAGTTACACCAACACACCCCAAAAACACCTAAGCTTGCCAAATTCACACACAAATGTAAACTACACACAAACATGCATAATTCACATGGGCACAGATAGAGGGTGAAATTCATATACCGTTAGAGATCTTACCATTTCCACCACCATCAACGCTAGTGTTGGGGAGATTGGAGTAGCCCTGGGTTGGCGCGATGCAGGAGATGGAGAGTACTTTGGGGTTGATGAGAATTTCAATTTCCGTGACCGATGTCTCTTCATTTGTTGGGGCGTCTAGTGAAATGCTATTGATCCACCGCTCCAGCAATACCAACCGTCTCTGATACAACACAGTCAATAACCATAGTTACTCACACACGCACGCAAACACTGCATAATTACAATTAATCATCCGTTTATGAGCAGCTCCTTAAAATTTGACTGTATTTAAGGAAGCTAACTAAGAATTTGTAATGCGAACTAGGCGATATTTAATTGGTCAACTTCGATGACGCAGCATTAGAAATAACGATGGACTTGTGCAAGGCATTTGAGTCATCATCGGTACTGCAAGTCATTCAACAAGGGTAGTGCGTTCGTTTACGCAACCCGACGCCTTGAGTGTGATGAAACTGTGGCGGCAACAGACGATCCACTAACACATCTACTTAGCCTCACTACGCCGACTGAAATAAACAATCCAGAAGAATCTACTCACACCCACAAGTGCTTCTGCAGCATAGCAACGCCCGACTCCAAACACTGCAACGCTCAAATTACGATGTACGACATCCAACAATCTACCTGCCCACCACTAAGAGGTAAGGAATATGCAACTTACATCTAGGTTGAGATCGGGTGGAAGCACTACCTCTGACATCGTTGACAATCGGTGAGCAGGTTCCGGCAGAGTTGTATTCGAAGGAAAGGGGGAAGAAGCCTGTGGTGGCTGTGACGGCGGCGGAGGGCCAGCATTGGTGCCTGGATCAGCCTGGTGATGAATCTGTTGATTGAGGTTGTCGCCTTCGTCACCGGTCATCGTGGAATGCAGATTCTGGTCTAGCTGTCGTTTTGCTGGCGACTGCTGCTCTGTATCGGTAAGGAATACCAGTGCAGCAGCACCTAGTGTAGACGCCGGTTACGAAAACTTGTTCGAAGGGATTACTTTTCGAATGCCACACACCACTTCCGTTGAAGTGGCAAACTCCGTTGACAATCTGACAAAACGTCAATGACTAATCAAACACAATGGGCTAATATTCGCTTCTTTCCGTGCTTGGATGTCAAAAAAGGGGTATTTTTAACTGATATAATCAATGTGTAGAAAATTCATTAATTGACTTGATCCATATAAATCTGGTCGTGAGGTTGTGAGATCTCTTTGGCCCAGAGGACCATTTGCAATGGATAAAATGGCGTTGCATATAAGGTATGGCTGGTGAGATCGGCAAAGTAGCCAGCCCTTAGACATGACGCTGCCAAATCTTTCCTATTCACACAAACGCGCTTTAATTCGATCTAAGTCGACTGCTTTTGCATGCGTTGATTTGCGACCCGAGTTACCACCTGCCAATCTGTGCTTAGCAATAGGACAACTCTTCAAGTCAACTCCACGCTTTCATTGGCACAAAAGAAAATAATAGGCAGTTTAATTTCTGCAAGAAAAAATACTCACGCAGTATTGATGATTGATGCAAAACCGAGAGTGGTGTGGATAAAATGTGCTTTAGGCAGAGAGCAAACTGTCTTAGCCAACTTGAGCGAATTGTCCTAAAATTCTACTTCTGTTTAACCAATGAAGGGTTGATATTCGCTCATTGCGTTGACCATCAATTCTTGCAATATTTGTGCTCAAGAAATGATCCGTTGTCACTCATGGAAAGCGCATCAAACGTGTGGAAATAATAACTGTAAGGTTTACAATCTTTAAATTTGTCCATCCGATAACACATGGGCATCAGTGATGACAACTGCGCACGCGGTTTGACTTGGAGATTGGGTATGGACATAAAAACGACATAAAACGATGGCGAATGTCGGTCAGGGTAAGAGAGTGATGTAACGGGCACACACGCGCGCACGGACGCAAGATGTATATGTTTAGTTGCGAATGTGATTCCACGTGTTCAAGTGCCACAGAAGTGGGCTAGTGGGTGCTTGGAATAAATATTGACGGTAGCATAGCAAATGCCGTCAAATACTTGTTGTACCTGGAACATGATGCCAACACCTCACCACCACATTTAGTGCTGGGGATATTAATTTCGCCACGGGTTTGCGTGTGGTCGGAGACGGAGAGTTCGTCGGGGAAGAACTTGGGGTCAGAGATGATCTCAATCTGCCTTTAGCAAGTCTGCACATAAGTTTTAGCGTCTTGCGAAATGCCATTGATCCACCGCTCCACACATTGCAGTCGATCCTGGCGGAGGCAGTCAAAAACCACAGTTTGGTTTACCAGCACACACACATACATCACAACACCTCCTAACCGCAATGTTTCATCCGCTCGTGTGCGGTCATCTCTTTCTTGACTGTGTTTGAATCAACCAAGTCAAGATCTGAGTCCATATTTTATCCAGAAACACAGACGTTTCTCATTTTCGGCGCAACCTTGGTGACAACACGACTACAAAAATGTTTAATTTTTCTACAGCAAAAACGCAAATTGGAAAACCACAAAGCTAACATGAGCATACAGACACAGTTGAGAAGATGGAAATGTGCATGCCAAGTGAATCGTCAGCGGCACTGCAAGTTATTAATCAGATGTTGCGCATTGGTCCACACAAAACGACGACTCTAATGCGATGTAACTGTGCCCAAACAGACACACCACCAATTGCGAGGCTGTAACGAATCCATTTCACAAACGACACCCGTTAGTGCTTAGGTAGCATCACAACTCTCGACGAAATGCTCCGTGTTACTCAAAATACCAAGCTATGGTGTGACGCATTCAACATTCTCGTTCTTAGTCAATGTCCGACAACCTTGACGAAGCCAAATTCGACCCTGTCCGAGACTACATCAACTGGTGTGCAGTTCTTTAACAACCGAGGCGCTGAAACAGTACCTGCATTACCAATACGAAACCTCTTCCATATTCTCTTAGCTGCGAACACTCCAACGCTTACGATGCACACATGTTCTTGGCCTGGCATTGCGATGACCTCCACAATTTTTATACCACCTCACTACATAAATCGACCGCAGCATTTATATACTGCTAGTTACTTGTCCGTTGTTCTACTACTGGTTCTTACAAATGGGCGGTGATGGTGCAAAAAACAATTTAAGATGTCAAATCGGATCAAATGTACACTTTCTCGAATGCTCCAATTCGTCTTCTCTACTTTGCACGTCTTTGATTACACCGTTGTTTTGGGTCAATTTAAAGATGCCATAAAGCAAACGCACCCACGATGGATTCACCGAAAAAACTGAATCCCGGCTGATTTAGTTATTATTTGCTGAAATGACGGATGAAACAGTAAGGCCCATGACTAACACTATCTAACTAACCTTTCACTTGTTTCCTTATCTACCTGAGCTATGCACAAGAGCCTAGTTGCTACACAATCCACCTCATTTTACTCATTAAGCAAAACTTTACAAGTGTGTCATCGAGTCCGCTTTGACTCAAGTCAACTTCATCGGTGCTCAGCACAGAGCAGCAGCACAAGCACGTTTAAATCACTTGTCAACTGATGCCACAAATTGTGCCTTAACATGCACTTAAACAGTTGCTGAGGCTCCTAGTCAGTGATTTTGGTGTACTAGTAAACCAAACTCGCATTGCGTCAGTGTCAACGCAGTGTACAATTCCATTCCAATCCTCCAGGACACGCGTTGGCGTCCGGTGGGTAAGTTTCATCGGTACTGGTAGCCCCCATCATCTCCGTGTCACCGAATTTTGATACAAAGTGGAGGATAGAGTGACAGTATGTTAGGACAGCATCTACACTCTTCCTCCTTCCCCCCAACACGACCTACGCGTTACTTCTTGTCTAGCGCCCTTTCTTTTCGAAAAACGACAAAAATAAAACACTAGAGACAAATGTGCACTTTTGCGTAGAACGATGTTATAGCACTCGATTCACATGACATTTCATTAAATTAGGTTTGGCTGAAATTAAAAATAACCACTACTACTTATTGCATCTACGTAGACTAATATTTCGGCTACAGACAACATTCTGCCAAACTTGACATTGCGTCAATCGTAAGGCAAAATTAATGCAATATTTACGCACTTTAACAATAACACCTCGCAGGCAATAGCCGTGCTCAGGAAATGCAAATAACCTTTCACATCAATTTAGTGTCCAGTGAACTCGAGCTAGATTTCACGAAAAATATTTTATTAATGACAAGTTTAGATACCATAGGCAAAAAAATGGGTAAGCACTTGTCGTGGACGCATCAAATGATCGCTAGTATTTACTAGCTCTGCGATTATCATCAATGTACACACACGTTTTTACATTCACAGCACAGACACACACAAGATCCACTGCATCCATACGATTCTTGCCAAGACATGGACCAAATAACACGTTGATGTGTGTCCAATCGTGCAGATGTTGGATGCTTTAACGATAAAAAACATACACGGACAATGATCCATTAGGTATTGCTGTATATGCTACCAATTCTCTCGATGTATCTAACCACACTCAATGCAACAATTGCACTAAACACACGATTCACAAACAAACTAAAACACGGCTAAGTTGAGTTTCACCCTGACTCCAGCTAGCTTTGCGAAATTAGAACGGTTATTCAGGCAAGCGTACCCCACTCACACACACACGCAGACACACACCGAAACGCATTCTTTCCAGGGGCAATTGATTTGGTTAAATTTGACTTAGATTAGTGCTGCAGATTTGACGGCAGCTGGTATTTCAGTGATGGTGTTAAGTGTTAATGGGTACAATCTGACAAGTAAGGAAATGCCTTTGAAATTGTCAAGGTGAGGAGAATGGCGGACCAGGTAATGGAAACTCGAAGGCCGACTAAAGTAGTAAACGCCTTCCTCAGCTGCCTCATCCTGGCAGCGACAACTGCCAATTGGATGGCAGCACTTGGTGCTACGTTGTCGCTGAACCTCTTGCCTCCTCTCCCGCTGCGCATAATCAGAGAATGAAGGAGAGATATGTCATGCGAGACAATAACGGCTGTCATCGTGTTCCGAAATTCCACCGCATTTACCTCCCAACCATTCCAAGCGCCCGTCATGTTTCTCTTTGCACACTAAACAAAGTCTAAACAGTCGACTATGTTATAAAACGTGACTGGTCTGGGTATAAACGCAGGTTAATCGCTACCGTTGCCATAACCTCACCCCCCACCACCTCCCCTTCCAACTCGCATCCACATCTAGCCGATATGTTTCAGCATTTATTCACGCTGTCTCACTCAGTGGTTCCACGGTGTCTGCGGCATTCTCTCAGCTACTTCTACCACGCTTGTTTCAATGTCATTTTTACTTCAATTTACTACTCGTTTTCGACGCAGAAACTGTGACACGTTGTGTTGTGGCGACGACATGTGGTTTTAAACCAAGATGGTATCCGCAGTGTGTGATTTGGCCCATTACATGGCGCTACGCCTTCCTAATGCCCTCCACTCCTTTTTCTACAATGTCAGAATCATTTTGCAACATTCTACGCTAGGCAATTCGATAATGTTTTTCACTGACTACAAGAATTCTCTTGTTGTCAAATTAAACCTGCGTTCCGATCAAAGCTCGAATGTGTGAAACCGTGCGAGTCACAACGTGCTAACATCCAGACGTAGGTGAAAGTTATCGCACGTGAAGTGGTAATGCCGGATAATCGCTCAAACTGATGACTTGTCACTTGCAGTTTTAAAAGTGCTAACAACCAGTCAAAGGTTAAAGTTTGCCCCTTTCGGCTGACGACGGCAGACTGCGAAACGTGCAGTCGTAGGTGAAGCAATTGGACACTTTACCGATGAATAACGTACATAGATGATTGGCCAATAAGGATTGCTAATTATTCTATTTCGACCTACCGAAAAACACAAAACACTTGCACGAAAAACACACAACTCACACACAAAATGATGCATGGCTACGTTGAGTTGCACCCTGACTCCAGTTCGCTTTGTGAAAGAAGAACTTTCACACAGGCAAGGGAACCCAACACCCACAAACACATGCACACACGGAAACACATTCTTTCTCGAGGCAATCGATTGGGTAAATTTCCAGCCAGATTATTGTTGCTGCATGTAAATTAGACGAACACCAAGGTGGATGCTTTGATTTGTCTTGGTGAGAAGGATTGTGCTGCAGGTAACAGAAAATCGACGGCTGCCTCAAGTGTAAGACATCTTCCAAAACAGTCTCATTCTGACAGTGGCAACTACCAATTGACTGGCAGCACTTGGTGCTACCATGTCGCTACGTCTCTTGCCACCTCTCCATCTGCACATAATCAGATATTCAGGGACAGATCTATCATGCGGCGCACGCAAGCAAATTTGTTGTAGGTGTGACACTGATTCGTCAGGTTTAAATGCACAAAGGGAGAGACTACCAGATGACTACAAGACACCACTTGTTGTCAAGATGAACTTGTGTTCCAATCAAGCTCAGATGTGTGAAACATTGAGAGTCACACAAATTCTAACACCCAGACGGAGGTGAAAGTTATCGCAAGCGCAGTAGTAATGCCTGATGATCGCTCGCGCTAATCACCTGTCACTTGCAGTTCCCTCCTACGGCTGACGAGTGCATGGTGCGTAAAGCGGGGTCGCAATGTGCTATGGAAAGAAGCTATTGGATTATCGGGTGAGTCGGCTCAGTCGAAAGTGATTCGACGCAACGCAGCGTAAATTAAGCATGTTGGATGTCTCATTTCACAAGATTCGCAGCAGCTCTAGTGGAACCACCTCTGCCACATCCGACTTTGCAATTGCCCACGATGTCTCAGCCAGTGCCCCTACGTCGTGTGCGCAACTCCAGCAATCAAATCACTCGTGCCTAATACAAAGAAACTGCGCCTATCAAGACATACGAACGAAGAAGATGCAGCTTACGCGGGTGTCGACACCAGGTGGAAGCACTGGCTTTGACATCGTTGGCAATTGCATACCCGTTATTGCAGTGTGGAAACGTCGGAGAATGGAATGGAGGCTACGGTGGCGGTGGAGCCGGCAGCGAAATGCCGACATTAGTACTGAACCAGCCTGGTGATGCATTTGTTGGTTGAGGTTGTCGCCTTCGTCACCGGTCATCGTGGAATGCAGATTATCGTCTAGCTGTTGCTTTGGTGGAGACTGCTGCTCTGTATCGGTAATGACCGGTAAGCACCTAGTATTGCAGACGCGTTTATTCTGTGAGATAGATCTGCTACTGCTTCGCAATTGGCCTAAGTAAATGTGTTGGTGGTTTGTCTGTTATGCGTCAGGCCATTGCATTGAAGTTGTCATTTTGTTCAAACAAATGCGCAACGTCTGCTTGACGACTCACGCTTTGTGCACATTTCCATCTTCTCACCAGTGTCAATTGTCTTATATCACGTATGTGGTTAGCAAAGTAGCGCGTTGTTATTGTACACCATTAAAGTATTTTCCAGTATCATTTTCATCCAGATCATTTCGATGATGCGACAAACCACGTGTATCTTGGATAAAGTAGTAATGCACTGCCTAGCTTGGTTGCTCCAAGCACAGTTAAGATAGCAATGACGGCACACAATCTCATGCAACATTTGGAATATAATCAGGTGTTTGTATGTGTGTGTGTGTATTTGCGTGTACACCTAACTGGTTGCTGACTTTGATTGGCCAGGCTCGAATGCAATGCGTGGAGAGGTGGATCAATGACATTTCGACGGACGCCCTGACTTATGTGCAGAACTCGCTCACGCAAATCGCGTTTATCTTCGACCCCAAGTCCGTCCCCGACGAACTCTCCGTCTCCGATTACACGCCAACCCGTGGCGACATCAGTGTCGTCAGCACTGCATTGTGTTTGATCGGTCATTGTCTCTTTGTCAGTTGGTCAAGAGAGTTTGTTACTTCGACGTATGTGGTGTTAGGCAATCGAACACTTATTCCCTTAGACATGTCTTCGAAACAGTCGGCAACACTAGGTTCTACCGAATTGTCGTTCCTTACCGATGCAAAACAGCTGTCGTCACCAGAGCAGGAACTAGACCATAATCCACATTCTATGGTGACCGCTGACCAAGGCCTCAACCTCAACCAACAAATAAATCACCATACTGGTCCATGTACCAATGTTGGCTCTGCGTCTTCACTGCTAACACCGCAATCTGCTTCCCTCCTTCCTTCGCTTTCGAATCTGCAGGAACCGCCTCAGCAATTGTCAACGGCATCAAAGTCAGCGCTTCCACCTTGTCTCAGCCCATCCGTAAGCAACATATTTTTTACGTTCCTATGGCATGTCATGCATTTTTTTGTATTCGACACGAGTGCTGAGAGCACCTCTCATTGGTGTGCTGGTTGAGTGTTGGATGTCGTGGATTGAGTGCGTGAGCGAGCTAAATGCGTTGACTTTAACTTAAATGTGAGGCATTTGTTTGTTGCTTCTTCTGAGTTGATTACTTAAACCAGAGTAGTCGGGCCGAGTAGATGGTTCGGTGGATCGTCTTCATGCTGCTACAGTCTTATCACCCACCCTTTTTGCCGTGTTGCGTTAACGAATGCACTCCTCTTGGTGGATGACTTGCGGTACCGTTGATGACTCAAATGCCATGCACGATTCCATCGTTGTTTCCACTGTTTCGTCATCACAGTTGACCAATAACATGTCTCTTAATTTACATCTACAATTGCTAGCTAGCTTATTTAGACACAGCCAAATTTTTGAGAATTTGTAAACAAAAAATGGTTAAATGTGATTATATTTTGTGTGTGTGTGTCAGTAACTATGTTTACTAAATATTTTGCGTTAGGATCGGCTGCAAATAGTGGATCAGTAAGGTTCCACCGTTCCAATGGACGCCCCAACACATGTACAGACCTCGCTCACGAAAACCTAGATTGTCTCCGACCCCAAGTCATTTCCCGACGAACTCCTCATCTCCGACAGCAAGCCAACCCTTGGCGACACCAATATCCTTAGCACTAGTGGTGGTAGTGGTGATGATGGAGTTGGTGAGATCTATGGAGGAATGCAGATTTCCTCTCTATCTGTGCGTGTGTATGTTACGTGTGTTAGTGTGTATTTGAATTTGGTGTGCAAAGGTGTTTTTTTGGTGTATTAGTTCAAATCATGTGTTGGTGTGTGCGTGGATTGTTGGCATGCTTATGTGCGCGTGTGTTTAGTTGGAAACAATGACTGCTGAGTGTCTGGTGTGTACTTGGTGCGTATCTGCAGTGTGTGCGTGGTCAGTGTCAAGGGTGTATGCAAGTTTGATTGATAGGTTTTGGAGAACAGCTCATCTGTGGCTGATGTGTGAGTGTGTTTGAGGTTTGAACGCGTATCATTCGTGAGTGTAGCGTGTTTCCTGTGTGTCTCGCCTTATCACGTGTGTGTGTCTGTGTGTGTGTGTGCAGGTAATGACACACAGGGAAAATATTTCCGTGTACGGACGTGCTCTTTCATCATCTATCTGTTCGACTGACTTGAGCTGTACTAGTTAGTTGTCAATGTGCTCAAACCTAGCTTCGAGTCTTCAGCTAGTTATCCTGAATTTTTTCACATATTTCAAGTTGTGGTTTGTTAATTGAGTTGAATATTACATTTTCGGAAGATGTTTGTCGGCTTGAATATAAGTGTACGTTTGATGTTTTCTGTGGCAGGTGTTTTGGGACGACATCTTGAGAGACAAGTGCCCTAGCAATAGTGAGTTGCGTCGCAGGACAACTAGCTCACAGTTCCCAGAGCGTCGCACATTGAGAAGCATTTGGAACAAGTTGAAGCAACTGCAAGCAAGTAGCCGTTGGACCGAATATGCTCTCCCGGTATGTGCGATGTGCAGATGTGTGCAGTCCCACGCACATTTATGACAAGGACGAGCATGTGTCTGTCTTACCTCGCGCACGCTTCTCTTCTGCTCCCACCATCGCAGCTCAATCTCACTCCATCAACAACACCCTCCCCACTTCACTACAAATCTAAACACCCGTTCTTCACATGCCTATTTTTATCCATTAACACTTGACACCTTAACCGTAATATAAGCTGTCGTCAAATTTACAGCACTAGTCTGGCTCGAATTGTACCTAATCAAAGCCTTGAGGAAGGGTTTTTTCCCTCGTGTGTGAGGGTGTGTTTGTTGAGGGATTGGGGGGATGCGTTTTTCTGTGTGACCGTTCTGCTTACAGATCGTGAATTGAAATCAGATGCACAAATCCATGTAGCCGTGTTTTATTCTGTGCGTGAGTTGTGTGTTTCCTGTGCAAGTGTTTATACGTGTTGTTTCATCCGTCAAAAGTTTTGTTAATCTAATCAACAGTCCCTATTGGCCTATCGTTTGAGAATGTTCTTTTTCCTGATGCAACTAACCTCTTAACAATCGGACTCAAATCGCCATGCTATTTGGTCAGTGGCTCTTGAAGAATAGATTTGACGCACAAGGTCTTTTGTATGTGAGTGTGTATATCCTGGGAAGTAGACAACGTATTTGTTGCTTAACAAACATCCGCACAGTTTTCGAGTCCACTTATTATAGCTCAGAAATGTGAAACAGCGCAAGTCACACAGGTGCTAACATCCAGACGTAGGTGAGAGTTATCGCACGTGTATTGGTAATGATAAATAATCGCCCGCACTAATGACTTGTCACCTGGACTTCCAAAAGTGCTAACATGCAGTCGTAGGTTAAAGTTCCCCCCTTCGGCTGACGACGACACTGCGAAACGTGAAGTCGAAATGTGTCATCGAATAAGCCGGTCGGATTAGTGGGAGTGAGTCGGCTCAAGCGAACACGATTGGACGCAACGCAGCGTGAATCGAAGATTGTTGGGTGTCTCATTCTACAACACTCGCAGCAGCCCTACTGGAACAATCTTGACTACATCCGAATCTGCTATTGCCCACGATATCAGAGCCAGTGCTTTCACCCGGTCTAACTCCATGCGTAGGTTGCATCTTTACGTTCCTATGTCTTCATATTTGCATTTGTCTTGTATTCGACACGAGTGCGGTGAATACTTCTCATCGGTGGGTAGATTGAGTTTTGGATGTCGTGGATTGAGAATGTGTGCGTGTGCGATAAACGCGTTGACATTAGCTTAGATGTGGGGCATTTGTTGAATACATCACGCCAGGACCTCGTACTGTGAACGTTGCCGTGTGTGGAGTCGGGCGTTGTAATGCTGCAGAAGCACTTGTGGGTGTGTGCTGCTTCTGTTGGGTTGGTTATTTAAACCAGCGTAGTCGGGCCGAGTGGATGTGTTGGTGGATCGTCTGTTGCCACCATAGTGCCATCACACTTAATTCGTTGGGTAGAATAAAAGACTACACTACTCTTGCTGGATGACTTGCAATTCCCTATGATGACTCACATGCCTTGCACAATTGCATCGTTGTTTCCACTGTTGCGTCATGGCAGTTAAACAATAAAATGTTGCCCTGTTTGCATTACCAAATCTTAGCTTTTAAATTCTCTCAAATGTGTTTGAATCTACACAAGCAGATTAATACTCGTGATTATTTATACATATTGCCTGTGTGTTTGTGTGACTTACCATGTTTAAGTAATATGTTGCGTCAGGAACCGACAAAGCCGTTGAGTAGGTGGATCAAAAGCATTTCGTTGGACGTCGTAACATATGAAGAGATCTCTCCCAGTAAAATGGAGATCACTGATCAAGTTTCCATCGCCGACCACACACAAACCTATAGCGACGCCAGTAACCTCAGCACTTGTAGCCGTGGTGGTGGTGTCGAAGATGGTGGTAGTGGTACTAAAGATGATTGTTGCGAGATCTCTGAAGGTATGTGAATTTTTTCTCCATCTGTGTGCATGCGTGTTAGTGTGTATTCTATGTGTGTGGATTTGGTGTGCCTAGGTGTTTCTGGCATGTGTTAGTGTAAATCGTGTTTGTGTGAATTGTGGGTATGATCACGTGCCCGTGTGTTTGGTTACGTAGGACGACTACTCAGTGTCTGGTATGCACGTGTATTCTCTGTGTTTTTGTCCATGTTGCACGCCTCTAGAGTGTGCGTGTTTAGTGTCTAGGGTGTGTGCGAGTACGTTGGCTTTGGAACGGAGGACAGCTTATCTGTGGGTGATGTGTGCGTGTGTTTGTGGTATGTATGTTTATTGCGTGTGAGCCTAGCGTGTGCTTTCTGTGTGACTCGCATGTGTGTGTGGTGATACTAAGACAAAGGCATTTCATGCAAGGATGTGCTCTTTTATCACCCAAAAATCCGTTTGACTGAATTGACACAAATTTGGCCTGGAGCATCTGTACTATTCACGCAATGCCTTTCGCTTCTCACAATTCTAGCTAAAGCAGAATTCCAGCAGCACCATATGATCACGAAATTCTGCTTCTTTCCATTAGGTCTGACCACAAATGCACGCTGTTCGATTGTTGGCCTTACTAATCGCACGCATACTGATGCGGTAATTTTGTGTTGATTGTGATGATGATAATGATGGCAACGAAATAACGCGTCATCAAAGTTTTTGCCAATGTGTGAATGGTCCGTGAAGATGAGCACTTACAATGTTGATTTGTAGGCAAATTGAACTACGACGATTACTTGCAGCAGCAGTGGCAGCAGCAGTCGCGTGAGGGCTGCGCCACCTGTAGTGAAGGTGCGGGTGTGGAGAGCCGAGGCAACACGACGACCACCTCAAGTGTAAACTACCTTCCACCACTTGCTCCCCCTGGTGGTGGTGGTGATGAGAGCAACTACCAATTCCCTGCCCGCACTGGGCCCTACCATTTTGCTAAGCCTCCTCACTCTCCTCTGTTCGCATACAATCGAAATTCCAGGTCCAGATCTTTGCTGCGAGGTCCTTCGAATCGGTTCTGCTGGAACTTTGAGGCATGGGATATTGCCGAGGTTTGTAAAATCACCTTTGCATCTATCAGTAGAGTTGCTTTTGTCTTGATTTCTTTGTTGCTTCGTTACCGTTACAAGGTCTATCAACGTGGAGTTAATTAGTTGAGCTGTCATTTGTTTACTTCAGGGATATCGCGACAACTTCTCGAGTGGCAACTTCCCCATATTGGATGAGGTTCCTCGCAGAACGAGTCGCGCACAGTTGCAGGCACGTAGAGCTATGAGAAACATTCGGAAGAGAATGAATCGACTGCAGGTGAGCTGCCGTCGCACCAACCATTCGACGCCGTTATATGTGCAGTGCTGGTGTGTGCGTGGCCGCGCGCGCTAGACATGCCATGGAGTAGAAAGTGTTTGCAATGCTGCCACACAATCCTACCCCTCCCACCCACCTACTCACACAACCTGCTACTCCGACCCTGTTGACACTTGAACCCATTGAATCACATTCTCAACCACCCACCAACAGCTTGATTCTGTGTGCGGATGTGTTGCTGTATCATCCCTTGCTTACCCTGGTCGACATTCGCCATCGTTTTGAATCATTTCTAGGTCCACACCCCTTCGCCAAATAGAACCTCACACGCCATTGCCACCACTATACCCAAAACTGCACTTACTTACACATCCACCTCCACCCTCTACTCTCCTCCCTATTCCAATAACCACCAGGCCACATCGATACATGCTTCTTTTTATTTCTTAGGTTTTATTCATCATCACATTACGCAAAAATTGAAATTACCATCGTAGTCGGATTTAAAACACCAGGCATTTTCTCACATTTCTGAGTAATTTTACAGAGGAAGTTCCTAATTAACTTGTCTAGCCCGTGTGTTTAGTGTAATACCATGTGTTGTTGAGTGTGTTTTGTGCGTGTACGTGTGGGTGTGATTGCAAGAATTGTCTAGTTCCACGAGGACTAGTGTGTGTGCCGGCGTTCTGAGTTTGGGATAGTGTCTGGAGCTTAGCAACTGCCAGTGCCTTTTATGCGATATACCATAGCTAGTGACAACCATCTCATTGCCATTACTGATTGCCTACTTCGTAATGTACTTTAGTTACCACGCGCTTCAGAGCTCAGCCAAATCCATATCTCGAGTGCATATGTGTTTGGCGGCGTTTTCATGTTTGCATTTACTGCAACGGGAAAATTCATGTGTCTACGAAAATGCGATGTCGAATCTAGCTAAGCGTGGTGAAGTAAACTTTGAAATGTTTGAGCCTGTTAAGAATTGAGTAGAGCTTGGGAAAGAGAGCGCGTATGATTAGTGCCTGTCTGATCAAGAAATCACCCGCAGAGTGCAATACTTGTTCAAATTCACACTTCGCCCCATGACGTACCAGCGTGGAAATAGCCGACGTATTTAAGTGTGGAAATCTTGTGCCTGACTATATGTTGAACTTCTGCCTTCTGATGTTCGGGCCTGAAATTGTAGCAAATAGAAACACAATCTATCGGTGACCTGGAGTGCGGTAAGTTACAGGAGTGCAGATGGGTTTTAATCGATGATGTTTGGATACTTGCAGATTCTTGAAATTAGATCAGACTGGTGTCCATGGGTCATCGTGTAGATACTTTTAAAGATGGTCAACCAAGCAGTTATAAACTGATCACGAGTCGTGCTCTTTCTACGAGTGACAACCGATCATTTTCTGAGCACGAATATTGCCTGCGACTGGAGGTCAACTCAATGAGCAAATAGCAACACAAGGACAATACGATCAAGTTTACTGGGACAGTTTGCTCATTGTCTAGAGTACATTTTATCGCCATCTCTCTCGGCCTTGAAACAATCAACACCATTGCGTGAGTATCCCTCTTCCCGAAATTGAACTGCCCCTATCTTTGCTTATGCTAATGAAAGCGTTTACTTTACTTGCCGCGAACCCACACACACAATAACAGTCGGCTTAGACCGATGGAGTGTGTATGTGTGTGTGTTTGAATGTGTGTAGGGTTGATTTGTCAGCGTCATATCTAAGGTCTAGCGACTTTGCCGATCTCACCACCCACACCTGGCATGAATAGCCATTTTTATCCATGGCAAATCGATTAGCTCAAATGGTCCTCTGGGCCACACAGGTCTCACGACCAGCTTTTCACTGGACAATCGTATTATTGACGTTACTACAAATAGTGACAAAAGTTATTTCATTCCCTGCTTAAAATAGTTAAAATATCGGTTTTTTGTATATCTTGGCACATCGTGTTTGATTAGTCATTAACTGTTGGTCCGATGGTTAACGAAGTTTGCCACTTCGACGTAAGTTGTGCGCGGCATTCGAAAAATATTCCATCTGCTTAAGACTTCATGACCTCCTGCAACACTAGGTGCTGCCGCATTACAGTTCCTCACCCATACAAAACAGCAGTCACCAGCAAATCAACAGCTAGACCATAATCCGAATTCCAGGATGACCGCTGACGAAGGCCATAAACTTACACGACAAATGCTTCACCAGACTGATACCGGCACCAATGCTGGCCCTCCGCCTCCGCCGCCGCCGCCACCATCACCACCACCGTCGCCGCAGTCTGTTTCCCCCCTTCGTTCGCCTCCAACTCTTCCGGAACCTGCTTAGCAAATGTCAACGATGTCAGAGCCAGTGATTCCACCCTGTCTCAGTCTTTGTGTAAGCTGCATCTTCCACGTTCCTTTGTCATGGTGGTTGCATTTTTCGTGCATTCAACACGAGTGATTCAAGTGCTTCTCATTGGTAGGCAGGTAGATTGTTGGATCTCGTCGATCGTAATGTGAGCGTTGCTGAGTGCGGAGTCGGGCATTACAAGGCTACAGAAGCACTGTTGTGTGTGGATAGATTCTTCTGGATTGCTTAGTTCAGTCGGCGTAGTCGGGCTACGTAGATATGTTAGTGGATCGTGTGTTGCCGCAACAGTCTCATCACACACAAGTCGTCATGGTTACGTAAACGAACTCGCTACTCTTGATTCGGGAATTGCAGTACCGATGATGACTCAAATTCCATGCACAATTCCATCGTTTTTTCTAAAGTTGCTTTTTCGCAGTTAACCGAATTAATGTCGACAAATTTGCATTGTGATTTCTTAGTTAGCTTCTTCAAATATAGTCAAAACTTTAAAAAACTTGCGCACAAACAGATGACTAATTTAGATTATACAGTCTTCGTGTTTGTAACCATGGTTATTGACGGTGCTGCGTCAGGATCAGTGGGAAATTGTGGAGGAACGGTTGCAAATGGTGGAGCGGTGGATCAATAGAATTTCACCGGACGCCCCAACAGATGAACAGACATCGCCCACGAAAATGGAGATCACCTCCACGTCCAAGTCCTTCCACAGCGAACTCTTCATCTCCGATCACACTCCAACCTGTGGCGTCACCAACCTCCCCAGTACTAGCAGTAGTGGTGGTGGGGATGGTGATGAGATCTCCAAAGGTATGTGAATTACCCCTTTATGTGTGCCCACGTAAATAATGTGTTTGTATGTGTTCTATATTTGCGTGTGAATTTTTGTGTTCGTATGTGTTTTAGGGGTGTGTTAGTGTAAATCCCTTGTTTTTGGAGATTTTTTGTATGCGCTTGTGCGCGTGTTTTGATCAGTTACGTAGGACAGCTACTCAGTGTCTAGTGTGTGCGTGCATTCTGAGTGTTTGTGTAGTTGGTGCGCATCTGTAGAGTGTGCGTGTTCAGTGTCTAGGATGTGTGCAAGTACGGCTTATTTGTAGTTGACGCGTGAGTGTGCGTGTTTTTTGTATAGTGTGTGAGTGTAGTGTGTGCATCTTGTGTGTCTGGCCTGGTTTCGTGTGTGTGTGAGTGTGATGGTACACAGAGAAAGGCTTTATATGCACGGATGTGCTCTCTCATCATCTAACCACCGGATTGACTTCGGCGGTACTAATTTGGCCGTGTGATTGATTTGTTGAAGTGAGCATCTTATATGTCAATCTGTAGGTAGAGTGGACTACGACTACCACGTGCAGCAGCAGCAGCAGCAGTCACAGGGATGTTGCGCTAGTGGCGGTGGTGTTGGTTGCAATGAAGTTGTGGCAGACCAAGGCTACACGACGAATGCCTTAAGTAGAAATCGTCTTTCGCCACAGCCAAAACCTGTAGGCGACAACCACCAATAGCCTGACCTCATTGGGCCTTTCCTCGACCCAACGCCTCCTCCCTCCTCTTCGACTGTAAATAGTCAGAAAATCAGTAAGAGATCTTAAATGCGAGGACCTCCGAATCGGGCCTTGGGTGACTACGAGACGCAGTTAGGTGTCGAGGTGGATAATTCAGGAGGTGAATGTGCCTGTAATTTGCCTGAATCTTTTTATAATTTTCAAGTTTTGGTTTGTTTGTTGAGCTGGATATTACATTTTCAGGCAATGTTTGTCTCCGAAAATATTATAAATACGTGTTATGTTATTTTGTGGTAGCTGTTTAGGGACCTTCTCTTGAAAGCAAACTGCCCCACCATGGGTGAGGTGCGTCAAAGGACTACCAACTCAGAAATGCGGGACAGTCGCACAGTGAAAAGCATTTGGAAAAAGGCGAAGCTACTGCATGCAAGCGGACGTTGGAAGGAATATGCTCCCCCATGATGTGAGAGGTGCAAGTGGGTGTGACCCCACGCAGCAGATATGACATGCACGACAAAGTGCTTGCCATGACCCCTTCCTATCTGCCCCCACCCACTAACATCTTCTACTCATACCTCTGCGGCCAAGCTAAACCCAATTCCAAACCCCTCCCCCACACCATTTCAAATTCAAGCACTAGTTTATTCATTTGTCATTTTTATCCATCAACGCTTAACACCTTAACCAAAATATAAGCCGTCGCCTTATTTACAGCACTAATCTGACTCTAATTTTATCCAATCAATTGCCTCGAGAAAGAATGTATTTCCGTGTGTCTCTGTGTGTGTTTGTGTGTGAAAGTCATGTGCCTGTGTGAACGGTCCCCTTTCACAAAGCGAACTGCGTGAATTGTGTGTGTTCGTGCAAGTGTTGCTGTGTGGTGTTCGGTATGTCGAAAGTGTTGCTGACATGGTCGACAATCCCCATTGGCCCATCGTTCGTGTATGCCCCTTAAGCATTGAAGTTCTACTCGTTCTTTGGTCCATGGCTTTGCAAGAAAGGTCTGGATGCAGTAGGTCAAGTGTAAGTGTGGGCGTTCTCGGGAGGTGACAGCGTGTTTATAGCCGCTTAAGCATCCACACGGTTTACACGATTTAATGGGCGTGGTTTACGAGGTTGGTGGAGTTACTCTGTATTCGAATATGAGTTGGGAATGAAATGTGCACAGAAGAAATGTTAAAACGCGGGGTCATATCACAGCCCTTTTAGCTCCCTCATGCCTTATTTAAATGCTTTCCATTTTTTTAACGGTGATAAGGCCATTTCAAGAACTGACCCTCCCCAGTTTCATCAAAAAAATCCTGTTGCCCCTCCTTACCTCCCTAAAATTGCCGACAAAACCTTATTTGGTCTGTTTGCGTCCTCACATATCCCTCAGACGGTTGGAGATTCATGGATGAATTTGTGCGTGGTCTTAACTTCACTTATGTGCACATTGATGATAGTCTCATAGCTAGCAAAGACTAGCGACCATTTGATGTGCCTACGACAAGTGATTGCCCATTTTATTGCTTATGGCATCCCAACTTGATATTAAAAAAATTAAATTTCGCGAAATCAAGCTCGAGTTTATTGGACGCTAAATAGATGCAAAAGGCTATTCTCATTTATCTGAGCAGTACTATTGCCTGCGAGGTGTTGTTGTCAATGTGTGTAAATGTATCATTAAGTTTGCCTAACGATTGACGCAGTGTCAAGTTTGGCAGAATGTTGCATGCTGTGGAAATATTAGTCTACGTAGATGCAATAAGTAGGCATGGTTGTTTTTTTTTAATTTCAGCTGTTCAGTGACTACTTCGCGAGTGGCAACTGCCCTAGTTTGAGTGAGGTTTGTCGCAGGACGGCGCACACGCAGCTGCAGGCACCTCGCAACACGAGTAGCATTTGGACTGGCGATGGTGAAACGACTGCAGTCGAGTGGCCGTACATATTAAGTATTGTGGTTTGGAGGTTAGGAAACGATCTCACGATTGCGTATGCTTAAAAAAAGTATCGCATGAACAATTAACGAGAATTATCAACAACATTGTCTCCAATGTTGCTAGAAGATAAATGTGATTTAAGTAATTCAATGATATTAGGATCGGCAACTTATTCCAACGAATCACAATCCATGTTTTCATATTTGTCTTTGATTTACATGCAGGCCAGAAAGGAGTCTTCTTGAAAGATTAACAATCAGTAGCAAAGTCTCAATCCATATTTGCGTATATGTCTTTGATTTACATTAAGGTCTAATAGTAACCCTAATACTCAACAATCACGAGCAATGACTCAAAGCATCGGACACAAAATTGTACGGCAACTACTGGCTTAACCTTGGTGTACAAAATTAGCACCGCTTGAGGACGCGATTACAAATATGCTATGTGAATTAGTAAAACAAAATACTACTAACAATAAAACTCGTTTTCTTAAATTTAAAATTTCGTGTTTTGTTAGCAAGGTGTAAAAAAAAATTTGGATAAAACTGCATTTTAGACGAAATGATTGAGACATTTTACGCAGTTCTGGCAGAGACGTAGTCAGTTCAACACTAATCTATCACATTCAGCAGTATAAATCACCATTGAAAGCACTTCGGAAGCCTCATCGTTGCCAATGCACCACTTTGTAGTTAAACTCATAGAGTGTAAGCAAGTCCAATTAATGTGTGTCCGTTAATGCACCAATGTATCTTGAATAAATCGACAACAGAAAATACAACAAATAACATATATTTATCACTGATATACAGTTGTAGAGACAAAATTGTACACAGTTGTCGACAAGAAGGGAAATCACAATGAATTTTATTGTTGTTGTTGTTGACGTGGGCAAATGCATTAATTAGACTATGTACCAATTTGTGCGTTTGCAGTTACCAAACCGATACTAAGACTGGGCGTCCGACTCCTGCGAAGAAATTAAAAGCCATGTGCCGCAGATCAAATTAATTGCAGCCAAGAATTCTTTTAAAAATACTGACATTATTAAGGAGATATATTTATGTTGTACTTAGTAAAATTCCTGCAAAATTAATTATTTGCCTAAACCACCCATTATTACAACTACCTTGATTAACCTGCATTGCGTCAAACAGAATAATATTTCGCATTAGAAAGCTGACTATTTGAATAAACATAAGTATGGAAAAATTCTTGAACCTGTAGCGTGGAACGTGCACCAATCGAACAACGCTCGTCGGTGTGGCGCATTCTTTGTCCTCCTTTTCCTTATTGCCATCTCGCCTTTCACAAGGTACGCTCGTGGGTGTAATAACAATCCTCACATTCCCCACAACCATCATCATCTTCATCGATTGTGTGAAAACGGACTGACAGGAATTAGCCAGTTTATGTGCCAGTTCAATAGCCACGTTGTAAACCGACTTCATGGAATGCATTTGAGATGGCAATTTTAGCACTCTACCATACTTGCGGCCTTCTAACGTTTGTTTGTATTGTAACACAAAATACTTTGGGATGGAAAAAGTATAAGTAATAGAGAGAAGGCGAACCAAGTAGTAGCCTTGTGAACTGGACTGCTGATCATCTGACACGCAGGAAAGAAGTGAGCTAGGTTGGCAGAAATATGCAGTTAAAAGTAAAACGGATAATGTTCAAGAGGTTAAGCGACTGCAGAAAACTAGGAAGTAACTAATAATTTTACTGATTGTAAAGATGATATAACTTGAAATGCCCTTATTTAACTCAGCAATGGAGCTATTCGCCACCAAATTCTGGTCCTGTGTGCATCCAAGCCATTCAATGAACTACAACGTTTCTCCTTAGAATAATTATTAGCGATTTAATGCAGCGTCAAATCTACCAAGCTGCACCTTTTTCCTGTGAAACTAACTTGGTAGTTGCTACACATTACGCAATGTGTCCGTGAGTACATTTTGCGCAACTGTTACAACACAGCCCCCCTCGAGATACTGAGCAAATATTCCAATATGCATAGGGGACTATAGGTGATGCTTGATTTGTCTAATTATGATGATTCTCATCTGGTCAAATGTGCTTCTTAAATTCTTGTTATTTCTACATTTCAGCATAGTTACGCTCGCGCTTAAGTGAAAAGTCACGCTTAAGCTGCCTAACGGAAAAAGAAGCATCCAACGCCGCTCAAAATCCGACAAATTGCTCTTCCACATAACACTTGGCTCACGAATCCGTAACCAGAAGAAACACATACGTTGCTGTGTCTACGTCTGCAAAGTTGCCCTCATCATTAATTTTTGGAACACAGGAACTACACCGTGCATGCCGGTGATGCAGGCAATCTACACTTCGTAGCTTTAGGTTATGGGATCTAGTTAGACCAGACAGAAATGCACATTTTGCAAAACAAAACAGAGTCGGCACAAGACAGATAACGACAACAAGTGTATTTACAATAAACTCAACAGCAACAAGCAACAAACAAGCGTAATCGCAAGATAGTCAGTCTGGCTGCCCACGCATGCATCCGCACAGCACCTGCGACATTCTATTCTTCAATCGCCAGTCAAGAAGTGAGTTGTGTGGTAAGTACTACAATGCAATGCAAACATGCACAAAACTCACGGATGTGTGGCGGTGTTTGCTAGGGCCAACACTTTCATCTGCAAAAGAAGGTGACAATTAGGCTTGCGCAAAGGCAAATACAATTGCGCAAGTGAGTAGAACGAAGTAAGTAAGAGTTGACAACTCTTCATTGCATTCCCGTGCGGTTTTTCAACTATGCCTTTAGCGCATCGAGCATCGAGAATTTGCCAGATCATACAATGGACACTTAATCTGATTCATGGCAACCTAGACTCACTGGTCTGTAAAGGGCATGAAAAATACAATCACCCATGTGCCCATCACATTGCTTCCAAACGCAAACTCAAATGTTAAAGCAAACCACCCACAACCCTTTCATAATCACGTGGTGTCGAGTCATCATCATCGCTATCCATGACACCTAAAGCATTTGTCACCACCTTGAAGTCCTGCATCGAGCCGTGCGTGAACAGGTTCGCATTATGCAACAACATTGTCACGACTGTTGCCAAGTGAACAGGCAGACCGTCATAAACGTTCATGTCAACAGTCGCACTACTTGTCACTCTGGCACACGATTCGTACTACTGGCCATTAACAATGTTCCTTTTATGCTGCCTTCGCAGACTCTTGTCTGCACGCAGTGGGTCACGTCGGAATGGTAATGAAATTTGACACTCCAGCATACCACTCAATTCCGATTTGCTCAGCCAATAATTATGCCTCAGTAAGTATGCATACCCACTTACACGACAGCAATCCGATGCCATTGTTCGATTGATTGTTTTCGTGTGCATCTGTGAGTCTGCCTTCACAGTGCACTACGCCCGCGCCCGTGGCAATGTCGCTTTCCTCAGACGTATCCCCTTCAAACGACAAGTAGACTGTGGTGCTCACAATGAGCACTTCACAGTCAGTCATATCGGCTGACACTTGCGACATACAAACATTCCATTTATAGAGATCTGAAGGCAAATTGATGCAAGAAACATTATTGTGAGATGCAATCACGCGAGGAGAGGCAATGAAGCGCACGCTTCGACTCACAAGATTCATGAGTTTGGGTGTCGTCCCGTGTACCACTTGCTACCACCCGAATAACTAAGACGTTGATTCGGAGTTGCATCTTGTTAGCTGCAAGGGCTGTCACGTGACCCACCATGGCCGACTCCGTCTCCGCATCCGTATCCGATTCCTCTACCTCGTTCACCGCCTCCTCCTCCTCCTTGTTCGCTGCCTCCTCCTCGTTCACCGCCTCCTCCTCTTCCTCCACCTCACTCTCGCCGATTTCCACATCCACTATCGCATATTCAGACGTGCCTGAAACGTATACATCCAAACTATGCCCATATTTGTCAGTTACGCTGGCGCAATACGGTGCTTCTAACAATAATAATAACAATAATGATACTTGCAATAATGATAGTAGTATAAGTATGTATGATTCAGGAAAAATAAACTTTAATGCGGTTTACGTACCGACTGGTGTCGGACTTAGGGACAAAGTCTCTGCTTGACTTTGTCCGCGCGCCGCCTCGTAACTGAGGCACAAGACCAACGCGTACAGGGCTGCGATGCCCAGCACAAGCATTGCACAGTGGAGTGGGACTAGTGACGCAAGACAACCGCCCAGTAGAGCTAGCAGCGTCCCTGTGCTTACCATTGTTCGCATAGTCGAATTAGGCACACAGTAAACTTGTCAGCAGTAGTAGAGTGAATTTGCAAGTGAATATTCTGCGCTGGAAGTATTGATCTTTGCATTTGAAGTTGCATTCTGTGTTCAATCGATGACACCGTTGATGTGGTGCTAACGTGCCAAAACGCAGCTGTGGCAATACCAACTGAAGGTCATCAAAATGTCCCTAATTTCTCTAATCGAACATAGGAAATGGCTATGTGTCAGTACCTGGCAGATAAATCATTATTGCAGCCGCTCATTTAGCAGACGGTGTATTCCAAATCAAATCTAACAGTTATTCTACATCCACGAGCCACTCTCCACAAGTCCTGTCATCTGGCGTTGCGCCATTACCTTGTACCTAGTTCCACAGTTTGTTCAAAAGTGACCTTGGCTTAGCTCATTCAAACAACATGATTGCACGGCCAGGTTTAAGAAGTTAGTGAAAGACGTCTGTGATAGGTGCTGCTTTCAATGCTTAACTTGAAGCCTAAAGTGCAATACATAAATGAAAAAATCTTAACCAACACGAATTATTGGCAATGAATTGGGGTTCGTGCAAACGTTTGCTAGTGATGACAGCTTCAATAATAAACCAGTGTACTCACAAAGCCATTGACCGAATAACACATCGTTTGCGTCCAATCGTGGACAAGTCAGACGCTTTGTCGATAAAGAATATACACAGACAATAGGCCAATAAGCATTGCTGAAAATGCCCGCAACACTCTCGATATATCGAACAACACACAACAACACTTGCACAAGAATACACATTTCACACACAAGCTAAAACATGGCTGTATTGAGCTGCAGACCTGACTCCAAACGTGGGAGCACCTTATCCCACGAGGCAATTGATTAAGTAAAACTCGAGCCGGGTTAGAGTTGTGAAGTAGATGACAGCTTATATTTAGGCTATAGTGTCAAGTGTTGATGGATAAAAACTGACAGGTGGAAAACGGGTGCTTAAATTTGTGTTGGTGTAGAGAAGGTGTTGAAGTTGGGCGGGGTAAGATAGAAAGGGATCATGGCAATACTTTCTCGTCCTTGTCATATCTGGTGTGTGGGGTCAAACACATCGCACCTCTAACATTACGGGGGAGCATATTCCTTCCAACGGCCGTTTGCATGCAGCTGCTTCGCCTTTTTCCAAATACCTTTCACTGAGCGACTGGCCCGCAGCTCGGAGTTAGTAGTCCTTTGACGCACCTCACCCATGGTAGGGTAGTTGCCTTTCACGAGAATGTCCCTAAACAGCTATCACAAAATAACATAACACGTATTTATTATATTTTCGTAGACAAACATTGCCTGAAAATGCAATATTCAGCTCAACAAAAAAACCAAAACTTGAAAATTATAACAAGATTCAGGCAAATCTACTGACACATTCACCACATGCCTTACTCACATCGACAACTAACTGTGTCTCGTAGTCATTGAAGGCCCGATTCGAAGCTCCTCCAATGGAAGATCTCTCCCTGAATCTGTAACTATGCGCAGACGAAAAGGAGGGAGCAGGCCTAGCGAGGGCAGGCGATTGGTGGTTGCTGCCGCCAGGTGTAGACTGAGGCAAAAGACGATTTCCACCTAGGGCAGTCGTCGTGTTGCGTCGGACTGCCACACCCGCATTCTGATCACCACCACCACCACCACGGCTAGTGCGAACTCCCTGCGACCACAGCTGGTGCTGTTGCTGCACGTGGTAGTCGTAGTCAGCTCTACCTAAATTCGACATTTCAAATGCTCATAGCAGCACATCAATCACACATTCACAACAGCTTTGTCAGATGTGATTAGCCAATTTCACGATGACGCATTTTTTTTACATTCTTCTGTGGCCGCGCAAAGCAACAGCCAGAAGAGGTCACTCTCTTCACTGGAATGACCACGACACCTAAACACCCACAAAACTGCCCCTACAGTGTACGTGCGATTTGTGGCCTCAACAAACAGAAAAACTTCATTTGTGCTCAAGACTAAGGATAAAGAATTAAAATTTCGGGTCACATGATGATGTGTCATATCTGCAATAGCTAGAAGTGTGAGAAAGCGGCACACTTTAAGTGTAACAACATAGCTGCTGTAGGCCAAATTTGTATAACTTCAGTCAGTCGGATTTTTAGATGATAAGAGAGCAGATCCGCTCATAAAAAGCCTTTTCCTTTGTGTCATCACATACATACGCACAAACACATCCGAGACACACAGGATACACACACTAGGCTTACATGCGATGCACGCATAAACCACAAACATACGCATCAGTCACAGATGAGCCGTCCTCCATAACTAAACAACTTACCTGCACACATCCTAGGCACTCTACAGATACGCACTAAATACACAAACACACAGGATACATGTGCAAACTAGACACGGAGTAGTCGTCCTACGTAACTAAACATATAGGCACGTGCGCATGCCCACAATCCACGCACACACACAGGAGTTACACCAACACACCCCGAAAAAACCTACGCACACCAAATTCACACTCAAATATAGAATTCACGCAAACACAGGTTATTCACATGAGCACAGATAGAGGAGAAATTTACATACGTTTAGAGATCCTGCCACTTCCACTACCACCAATGGTGCTGGGGATAATTGTGCCGCCGAGGGTTGGCTTATGGTTGGAGATGAAGAGTTTGTTGGCGGAGGACTTGGAGTCGGAGGTGATCTCTGTTTTCGTAGGCGATGTCTGTTCATCTGTGAAGGCATCCGGTGGAATGCTATTGATCCACCGCTCCACCAATTCTAACCGTTCCTGACGCAGAACAGTAAATCACCATGGTAACACACACAAACACCATATAATCACAATTAATCATCCGCTTGTGCACTGCTTCTTAAAATTTTGACTGTATTTAAAAAAGCTAATTGAGTATTTGCAATGCGAATTGGCTACATTGTAGTGGTCAACACAACCACGAAACAACGATGGAATTGTGCATACTGTTGAGTCATCATCGATACCGCAAGTGATGAAGCAAGAGCAGTGCGTCCGTTTATGCAACACGACGACTTGAGTGTGGTGGGACTGTGGCGGCAACAGACGATCCACCAACACATCTATTCAGCCCCACACAGCCGAATGAACTAAACAATAAAGAATCTACCTGCAACCACGAGTGCTTCTGCAGCATATCAGCGCCCGACTCCAAACACTGCAACGCTCAAATTACGATGCACGACATCCAACAATCAACCTGCTCACCAATGAGAGGCACTTAGATCACTCGTGTCAAATTCAAGGAGAATGTAACTATCATGACATAGGAACGCGGAAGATGCAGCTTACGCGTATGCTGAGACAGGGTGGAGGCGCTGGCTCTGGCATCGTCGGCAGTTGATTAGCAGGTTTCGGCAGATTTGGATTCGGAGGAAGGAAAAAAGAAGCCTGAGGTGACGGTTGAGTGACGGCTTTGGTGCTTGGACTAAATTAAGCATAAAATAAGAGAAATATCGACACTATGTTTAGAAAAAATCATTAATTGAACTTTCCAGTGGAAGGCTATTAGTGAGATTGTGAGAGTTCTGTGGCCAAGAGGACCATTTGAGTAAATCGATTTGCAATGGATAAAAATGGCTTTGCTCGCCAGGTGGGGGTGGTGAGATTGGCAAAGTCACCAGCCCTTCGACACGACGTTGCCAAATCTTTTCCACACACGCACTCTCATTCTATCCGTCTAGGTCGACTGTTTTTGTGTGTGCTTGGCAATAGGAAAACTTTTCAAGTAAAGTCCACGCTTTCATTAGCAAAAACAAAGACAGACAGCACTTAACTTTCTGAAAAAAGAAAACTTACGCACTGTTGTGAATAAACTCTAAACCGAGAGAGAGGTAGGTACAAATTGGTCTAGGCAGTGAGCAAACTGTCCTAATAAACTTGAGCAAATTGTCTATATATTCGACTTTTGTTTAATTAATTACGTGTTGCTATTCGCTCATTGAGTTGACCACCAGTCACAGGCAATAATCGTGCTCAAGAAATGATCTTTTGTCGCTCATAGAAAGCGCATCACATGTGTGGAATTAATAACTGTAAGTTTTACAAACTTTAAATTTATCCATCCGATAACACATAGGTACAGGGTGGTGGCAACGGTGGGTGCGGCTTAAGTTGGAGGTGGAATGTGGGCATAAAAACGATTCGAAACGATGGCAAATTTCGATCAGAGAAAGAGTGATTTCACGGCACACAGAAGGTCGCGTGCGCAAAATGTTGATAGATTGTTGCGAAAGTTATTTAATAGGTTCAAATGCCTTTGAGGTGTGAGTAGAAGGGTGGAAGAGGTATAAACGGCAGCATAGCAAACAACTTTACGTTTTTGTTATATCAGGTACTTGGGGCCACCACCTCCACCACTACGACCACTACAACTAGTCCTGAGGATATTAAATTCCCAACAGGTTGGCATGTGGTCTAGGAGGGATAGTTCGTCGGAGAAGGACCTGGGGTCTAAGATGATCTCAATTTGTGTGAGCGAGTTCTGCACATAAGGTAGGGCTTCTGGAGAAATGCTATTGATCCACTACTTTACATATTCCATTCTTTCCTGGTACATTAAAATCAATGACCACAGTCAGGTTTACTGGCACACACAAACACACCCATACACCTAATAATCACAATTTCGCATCCGCATGTGCGCGGTTATCGCTATCATGACTGTGTTTAAACCAACCAATGTAAGCCCTGCATCCATGTATTCTCCAGAAACATGTAGCTTATCTCATTTTCGACACAATACTGGTGAAAATGGGTCTACAGCAAACACACTACTTGGGCAATCACAAAGTTGACTTGAGCAAACGAACACATTTTGGAAGATGAAAATATTCCTGCCATGTGAGTTGACAGTGGCACTGAGAGTCATCAAGCAGGAGTTGCGCATTCGTCCACACCAAACGACGACTCTGGTGCGGTGTGACTGTACCGAAACAGACAAACCTCAAACTCGTCTACCAAGGACAATTGCAAAGTTGCATTGAGTCTCCCTCACAGAAGACACAGCAGCAGCCTCACAACGCTTGATACAACGCACTGTGTTACTCGAAATACCAAGCCCTGGCGTGACACATTTATCAAATACCCAACATCTCAATCAATACCCGACAAATTTTATCCCGTCCGATTCTAAATCAGCTGCTGTGGAGTTGCTGAACAACACAGGTGCTGAAACAGTACTTGTCATTACCAACATCCAACCTCTTCCACAATCTCCTAGCAGCGAACACTGCAACGCTTCCGACACACATCTTCTTGACCTGGCGTTGCGATGACCTCCAACATTCAAAATCCACTTCACTAAGGAAATCGGCCATAGCATTTGCATACTGCTAGTGACTTATCCATTGCAGGATGCCGCGAACGAATTGCACACACAATTGATTGACGGGGAAAAATTGAACCCAGGCTGAGTTGGCATTTACTTGCTGAAGTGCCGGATGAAACAATATGCCCCATGACTAACTCTTTCACACCAACCCTTCAGTGGATTCCTTATCTGCCTGCACTAGGCATAAGAGCTTAATTGTTACACAATAGTAAGTGGTGGATCGTCTTATGCACCTTGGATCGTCTGTAGGGTTTACTCATTAAACAAAACCATACAAGTGAGTCATCGAGTCCGCTTTGACTCAAGTCAACTTCATCGATGCTCAACTCACAGCAGCAGCACCAACATTTTTCATTCAATTGTCAACTGACAAAGCACTGCCAACCAAAACTGATGCCACAGATGGGCAAGCACTTGTCGTAGACACATCAAATGATCGCTACTCTTTAGTAGCTATGTGACTATCATCAATGTGCACATAAGGAAAGTCAAGACCACGCACAAATTCATCCATGAATCTCCAACCGCCTGAGGGATATGTGAGGAAGTAAACAGACGAAATAAGGTTATGTCGGCAGTTGTAGGGAGGTAATGAGGGGTAACAGGAATTTTTTGATGAAACTGGAGAAGGTCAGTTCTTGAAATGGCCTTAACACACTTAAAACTAAATGTAAAGCATTTAAATAAGGCATGAGGGAGCTAACAGGGCTGCGATATGAGCCCGCGTTTTTAACATTTCTTCTGTCCACATTTCATTCCCAACTCAAATTCAAATACAGGGTTACTCCACTAACCTCGCAACCTACGTCCATTATATGAAGCAAACTGTGATGATGTTTGACCGGCTACACATACGTTGTCACATTTACAGCACAGACACACAGAGGATCTCCTGCATTCAGACCATTCTTGCAAAGCCATGGACCAAATAACACGACGATGTGTGTCCGATCGCGTAGAAACGGGATGCTTCAACGATAAAGAACGTGCACGGACGATGGGCCAATAGGGATTGTTGTATATGCCAACAAAGATTTCCACATATCGACCAACACACAACAACACTTGCACAAAAACCACAGAAACTTAAACATGGCTACATTTATTTGCGACCCTGACTCCAGGTAGCTTAGCGAAATCAAAACGGTTTTTCAGGCAAGCGTACTTTACCCACACACAACACACGGACACCCACACGGAAACACATGCTTCTCGAGTTAGATTAGTGTTGCAAATTAAGCGACAGCTTATATTTCAGTAAAGTGTTGAGTGTTAATGGGTACAATCTAAAAAGCAAAAAATGGGTGGTTGAAATTTTCTTGTCGTGGGGGTTGGCGTAGCACGTAATCGGATCTCGAAGGCAGCCTATATTGGCAACTACCTTCCTAAACAGCCTCATCCTGGCAGCGACAACTACCAATTAGCTGGCAGCACATGGTGCTACGTTGTCGCACCACCCCTTGCCTCCTCTCCGTCTGCGCATAATCGGAGAATCTGGGACGGATCTTTCATGCGAGGCACTTGAGTCTGTCGTCGTGTTCCAATTTTCCACCGCACCCATCCCCACACCATTACAAACGCCCGTCATTTTACTCTTTATCTTGTATCCATTAACACTTCGCACCCTACACAATGCACAAACTGTCGTCTATGTTTCAAAACGAGACTGGTCTATGCATAAACGCTGTTTTATCGTTATCGTTGACACAACCTTACCAAAATACCAACTCCGCATCCATTTCTAGCAGATACTTTTCAACATTTGTTCACGCAGTTAGAGGTTCCCAGGTATCTGAAGCATTTTGTAGGCAATTTCTACCATGTTTGCTCCAATGTCATGTTTGCATCAATTTACTACTCGCTTTCAACGCAGGAAAATTGACACGTTGTGTTGTGGCGACGACATGTTGTTTTAAAACAAGATGGTGTCCGGAATTTGCATTGGTTTATTACATGGCACTACACCTCTTTAATGCACTCCGCTCCTGACTGGACAGTGTCGGAGAGTTAATTGGCAATTTCCCCTGCAAGGAAATTCGACTTTGTCTTTCGATTACTGCGAGATACCACTTAATGTCAAGTTGAACTTGTGTTCCGATCAAAGCTCAGACGTGTGAAACCGCGCGAGTCACCAAAGTGCTAACATCCAGACGCAGGTGAGAGTTATCGCAAGTGCACTGGTAGTGGCAGATAATCGCTCACACCAATGACTTGTCACTTGGACATCCAAAAGTGCTAACATGCAGTCGCAGGTGAAAGTTCCCCCCTTCGGCTGACGACGGCAGACTGCGGAGCGTGAAGTCGAGAGGTGTCATCGAATAAAGCGATGGGATCAATGGTGTGAATCGGCTCGAGCGAACGTGATTGGACTCAACGCAACGTAAAATCGAGGCGCGTTGGATGTCTCATTTCACAGCACGCACAGCGGACCTACTGGAACCACCTTGACTACATTCATCTCTGCTATTGTACATGATGTCAGAGCCAGTGCTTCCACCCGGTCTTACTCCACGCGTAAGTTGCATCTTTACGTTCCTATGTCTTCATATTTGCATTTGTCTTGTATTCGACACGAGTGCGGTGAATACCTCTCATCGGTGGGTAGATTGAGTTTTTGATGTCGTGGATTGAATTTGTGTGCAGGATGAAAGCGTTGACATTAGCTTAGATGCAGAGCATTTATAGAATACATCACGCCAGGACCTCGTAATGTGAGCGTTGCCGCGTGTGGAGTCGAGCGTGTTGCAGCGACTGGGCATTTTAGCACTACCTTACAACCCTCTTGTTAACAGCCCGTAACTACACGAGGATAGGGGAAAAAGAGGTGACAGAGAACACGACCGTTTATTATTGTCACAATGGCCAAGCGGCTTTGCGGGCGTATGAGTACGCGTGCGTTACAAGCGAATGCTGACAGCGGCCAATAACAAAGGGGGGCGGAGTCATTGGTCCATTCGGGCCCTCATGCACGCATCACTCACGCGGGGTGGCTGTCAGTCCACTACAGTGTTAATGCTGCAGAAACACTTATGTGTGGCTGTTGCTGCTGGATTAGTTATTTAAACCAGCGTAGTTGAGCTGAGTTGGTGTGTTGGTGGATCGTCTGTTGCCGCCACCGTCTCATCACACTCAAGTCGTCGGTTTGCGAAAACGACTACACAACTCTTGCTAGATAACCCACATGCTTTGCACAATTGCATCGTCGTTTCCACTGTTGGCTCATTGCAGTCGACCAACAAAATGTCACCTAGATCGCACTGCCAAATCTTAGTTAGCTTCATTAAATACGTACAACAGTGCATGGATCTGCCCACAAACACATTTCTATTTTTCATTATGTGTATGTATATATAGTAGGGGTGTGTGTGTGTGAGTAACCATGTTTATTGACTGTGTTGTGTCAGGAACGGATAAAGAGGGTGAGTAGGTGGATCAATAGCATTCCGCCG